GATTCCCATTCTTCTCAGAGTCAGCCACAGTTTGTTATGATCCACACAGTCAAACGCCTTTGCGTAATCAATGAAACACAGATAGACATTCTGGTATTCTCTGCTTTCATCTAAGATCCCTCTAACATAAGCTACAATATCCCTAGTACCATGACCCCTTCTAAACTCAGTCTGGACTTCTGGCAGTTCTGTGCTGATGTGCTATTCCAGTCATTTTTGGATAATCTTCAGTAGAATTTTGCTTGCATGTGAAATCAATGATACTGTTCTGTAGTTTCCATACTCAGTTGGGTCACCCTTCTTTGGGATGGGAACAAATATCAATCTCTTCCAGTCAGTTGGCCAAGTGGTTGTTCTGTATTTGTACTCATGAGACTGAGCTAGTTCACTCAGCATAATGTCCCAGTCTCTCCCAAGTTATGTAGTGTTTTTGAAAATCATTGCTCCTGCATGCTGCATAGTATTCCATTGTGTCAATGTATCACAGTTTCTCAATCCAATCAGTTGTGGTTGGATATTTGGGCTTTTTGGCGTTTCCTAAAAAAGAACAAAAACCTGGACATAGAAATTCTGTATGACCCATATGGAGTTTGTGCTTGGGCTGTTTGGGCAGTTTAGCATTTCCTAAAAAAACAATATAGAAATTCCGTATGACTCAGCTGTTCCACTACTAGGAGAAATTAGAACTGAAACACAAAAGGAGATTTATGCACCACTGTTCATAGCAGCTTTATTTACCATTGCAAGAAGATAGGAACAGCTCAAAGCAAAGCTCTTTTATGGTAAATTGTTGATTTTTAAAATCGGAGAACCCTAAGCATATTTGTAAGCAAAGAACCAAAGTCAATGGAAAGTTAGTAAGGGGAAGCATTAAGGAACGAGATGATCTCTGAAGATCAGGAACGACACCAGGCCCACAGTGAAAGTCTTGACTTTGAAGAGGAATTAAAATGAGATTGACCTCTGAACAGAGAGAGGAAGTCACTAAAACCTGGAGGATAATTAGATGTAAGAGAGGAAGCTGAGGGAGCTCACAGCAATATGACTAGTTCTCAGTAAATCAAATTTAGGTGGGAACTTATAGAATGATATTTACTGGTTCTTAAAATCGTCTGGCCACAGTCCACCTTCCAAGCTAGTCTCCCTTTTCAGTGTGAATTAATTAAGAACTATGTGTTGTTGTTGTTAAGTGCCATCGAGTGGCAGGCAACTCATAGTGACCCTATGAAGGAGAGTCCTCAACACTTGGGTTTCTTTCATCCTCTCTTCAGGTTCATAGGGTTTCCAGAG